CGCTCGGGACGGCGGCGGAGGTGGCCACGGCCACGGGGCCGGGGGCCGCGAGGTGGGAGCTCATGGGGGCGCGGGAGTACTACGACTACCGGCGGGCCATCTACGGCGACATCACGCACAAGGCCATCCTCGTCGACGCCGCCGGCACGCTGCTCGCCCCCACCGAGCCCATGGCCCAGGTCCGCTCCGCTCGCCTTCGCCTCCCTCCTTATTGCCGCCGCCGCGCGCGCGCGCCTCCCTCCGGTTCGCGTCCTCTGCTGCACCATGCCCGGCCGGTTTCCTGCTGCATGTGTGGTCCGATGGTTTCTGTACCCCATTTCTGATCATCGGTAGCGATTCCTGCGGCATGCAAGTTGATTTCGGCTCGGCTGTGCGCGCTCTGTGGCGGAGTGATTGGACTTGATCTGATCTGTTGCTTCTCTCCTCTGTATATGCGGTCTCAGGCTGTGCTGTGGAGAGATCTGTCAGTGTTCTTCAGGACTTGTTTGCTTTACTACTAGATGGTTTCGTTTCGTCCCCTGAGCGACGAATTGCACAACAGTCTCCTGCTTTCTCTGATGCGTTTGAGCATGTGTCCTGATGTCTGCTGTTTTAAACGTCTGTTTCAGGTGTACAGAACGATAGGCCAGAAGTACGGAGTGGATTACTCCGAGGATGAGATTCTGATGCGGTATCGGCGGGCCTATGCGCAGCCATGGGGTAGATCGCGTCTGAGGTAAGCCCCACTAAACTTGTGACTGTTCATGTTACTTGCTGTATTTTGCATGACTTTTTTTAGAGGGAGAAAAATATAAGCATGTGGAACTGGTGTATTATGTGACCTCAGTTGATTGCACCCCACAGTTTCATGTTTGTTGGTAACTTGGTATGGTACGTGTCTCCTGCTTTTGTGCAATCCAATCGAGCTGTGGACCTATATGGTAATAAAAGTGGTTAGAAGTTGTTGATTGATCACTTCAGAGGCTTGGGTCTTTTGGAACAATCAGCTTCGAAGTTCCCTGCATGGAAGCTAGGGAAATTTTGGTACTGTAGGCAATTTTGTCATGTATAGTTAACATGCCACGCATATCCAGCTGAAAGGTCTGCATCCAATGTGTAGAGATTAAGTTTAATCCCTATAAACAGTGCAAACCTAAATATATCTGAATCCATCAATCTCAGATGCGTTGCAAATCGAGAACATTTATGCAGAGATTTTTTTTTAACAATTTATCTGGAAGACTGAGCTGTAAGTCAATGTGACGTAATAACACTGGGCATCCTTCCAAGAACAAGTCAGTAAATAACTCGGAGAGTTATATCATCACAAGTCTTCCAGATCTAGTTCCGAGAACAGGATTTCTCCCAAATAGCATAGTTCTGCTGGTTTATTTATGCCACTGCTAAAAAAAAGACAAAAATAAAGAAATAAAGAAGGAACAATAATTCCTAGCCGATGAGTATGGTTTAGGCGTTATAGAAATACTGTGCAGTTGACAAAAGTAACTTGATCTGGTTTTGTGAGCTTTTCAAGCATACTCCTACATAACAATAAAGTACTTCCAGGCTGTTTTCTTAGACCTATCAGGACAAACATCTTGGTCAAAAAATATCGCCACAAATTTTTTCTTAACATATCTGGCCATCTGGGTGGTGGTCCGAAGTAGTGCTGGTTCTGGTTCTTTCATTTCATTTGTTTCTAGCTCATCTTGCCTGCCCACTTATGTACTAGAATGAACTGTTGGGTTTGTTATGTTACTAAAAAAGCGCTGTGCCTGGGAGCCTTGCAGCACTCCAGATTTCAAACCCCTTTCGAAAATCATGCTACTGCTTGGACTGCAACTGAATTTCCAGTCCTAATGCATTTGAGTTTCTCCAGGTATGTCAATGATGGAAGGCCCTTTTGGCAATACATAGTGAGTTCATCTACTGGCTGCTCAGATCTACAGTATTTTGAGGAACTGTATCAGTACTATACAACTGAAAAGGTGAGATACAGTGTGCAATCGAAATGGTTTTTGACCTTCTTTTGGTATATAATTGCTAAGCTTACGAAATGTGATATGTTTGCTAGGCTTGGCATCTCTGCGATCCAGATGCTGGACGTGTTTTTGAGGCATTGAGGAGGGCTGGTGTCAAAACAGCTGTTGTGTCCAACTTTGACACCCGTCTTCGGCCACTTTTACAAGCCCTTAAATGTGACCGCTGGTTTGATGCAGTTGCTATATCTGCTGAGGTTGGTTTCCATCTCTGAATATTAGATGGGCTTGTTTAACGAAGCTTACTATTAAGCTCTGGCCCTGTATTTATGTGCTTATTTGTAAACTATAACTGCTATTTTCCTATTAATCTTGTCTTAAACTCTGTTCCTTGGATGCTGCTCAACTTCCAGGTTGCAGCAGAAAAGCCAAACCCTACAATATTCTTGAAGGCCTGCGAGCTGTTAGGAGTGAAACCTGAAGAAGCTGTGCATATTGGTGATGACCGTAGGAACGACATATGGGGAGCTAGGGATGCAGGCTGTGATGCCTGGCTTTGGGGCAGTGATGTTTACTCCTTCAAGGAGGTATATTTTTCTGCTGCTCAACACTCCTGTGGAATTCCAACATTATCAGCTCTATTTGTGCTGCTCAACACTCCTGCTCAACCAGCCATTTTATTTGTGTTGCATTTCACCAGGATTTACCAACAGTTGCATTGTATAACTTGGCCCAGGATCCCCTGCAACTCTTTCATGTTATCTGCACTATTTCTCTGAAGCGCGATTTTTCGCTGATTTGTTTGTAACTGTATTGCAGATTGCAGAGAGGATCGGGGTTGAGGTATAGTGAGTTGTTCTCCTGAGCCGCAATAGGAGTCATCCTTGTACATAGTGTCAACGCTACTTACCAAGGGCGTACTGTGCATATTTCCAAGGGAAATTACAAGAGCAGTTTCTCCCTGTGTGCGACTGCGCCAGGCATTTTGTAGCAAATACTGATGATGTTTATGTATACATTTAAATGTTCAGTAGCCGCCTGTTAGTTTCTTGTGTTGCGGCTGTGACCTGCAGAATACACCTTGGGAGATCCCTACGGCATCTTTCGTATTTCACATTTCGTATCCTGAAGCATCATCAGCATCACTAATTCTCATTGTTCAGGCCTTCCTGTATTTTTCCCCCCTTTCTGAACGACCATTGCAGGAGCTCTTTCCGGGTTGAATTAACAGAGAAGAGGGTACCAAAAAAAGACACCCAAAATATACAATGCAGAGAAACAAGAACAGCAAACTCATAGAAATAATGGGAGAGCTTCTCTTTTGTACTTACAACATAAGAAAAGAGCTCTGAGAAATCTAGAATGAGCTCCCTAAGCCTGCCGTGCACGACATATCGATATGGCCACATCAATTGCCTTGCAAATGACTAGTTTGTCCGTTAGTGCTGTGTTCAAGGATCCATTCTTTGCTCACGGCTATGATTTACTAGTACGCACTGCTAAATGGTGCAGCATTTTGGAATTTGTTGACCTTAGCCAGAGCCCAGTGCAACCTAATAAGTGCAACGATTCCTGATGTCAACTTTCGGTTCCTTTGCCTAAGGTACTTAAGTCTTTCCATGGTTTTCTATCTGAAATGATTCCTCAAACTTAGCCTCTTCTCACATGGGTATGAAGATACTCCTATGTTGTTGCTTTACGCCAATGTCTCGTGTTTGTGCTAATCAGTTTTGGTTCAAGTGCCAACCCAGAAAGTGTCCATGAGGAGGCTAACCGATGAACTATTGAAATTATAAAACTAAAACAATATAACATAGTACATGTTCTAAATTTATGTGCAACTAAAAATCATTAATAGAATATTTGAAAGAACCGTCCATGAATATATAATAACTTAAGATTAAGCAACGTGCAGTAAAATTCACACATTGCTTGTCACAAACCGGCTTATCAGCTAGAATCTACAGTATTTTTCTCTCACAATAAAACAGCTTCAGCCGGCTTTAATACCAGCCGAACATACCACACATGTCACACAATATCAAAAGCACGAACAAAAGGGTGCATGGCCCCCCCTATACTTGCACCACATGTCACACAATATCAAAAGGACGAACCAAGGTGGTTACATAATGTCCGCTTTGAACTAAATTAGGGCTTACCTTCTGCTTACTTAACTTTTCTTAAGTTCCTCCTCCATAATTAAATGTTTGTTTAGATCATTATTGTATTATTAGAAACTAGATCCTGAATGTGGTTATAGTAATCTAGATTAGGTATTATAATAATCTAGGTTGTTTGGATCCCTGCGTTATGGGTGTTAAATTTATGGGATTCGATTTTGTGAGCACCTCTAATCTTCTATATATTAGTAGGTCTGAGATGGACTATTGGATTATAATAATCTATTGGATTACTATAGGTGTGTTCGGATCAACTAAAGATTATTTTATCTAATTTACTATAGGTGTGTTTGGACTACTAAAAATCGGATCTGCGGTCGTACCACTTTGAGAATCAAGAAAATCCCGCCAAACACTCCACCTCATCGATGATTCTTTCCACCATCGGAGACACATCGATCGGAAAATTGAACTAGAGCCCGAATTTTATGTACCATGAGGTGGAGGCCAATACCGCACCATGTGGTGGCCAGCCTATGGCCCCAAACACGCCCTATGTTGCGGTACCGATACCTAGCCTGTTTATTTGCTCGTATACGATCGTGGATTATAAGCTGAAACAATATTTTTCTCTCACACCAAACCAGCCAGCAGTAAATAATTCACGATCGTTTACGACGAAACGAACAGGCTGACGTGGTGCGGTGGCCAACCCGTAGTCCCAAATATGCCCTCTAATCCATAGGTGACCTATTCACGTCAAGTTTACGACTAAAGAACTTCAATTTTTTAGAAGAAATAAGTGTTTCTCGAGAAAACTTATTCAAATACTAAATAGTATTTTTGAAATATATCAAATAACATTTTCACGTGGACCCCATGTGAAAAAACACCTGAAAAAAAATTCCAGCAGTACACAATGACAAGGGTGTGTGGCCAGCTGAACATCAGTTTTGCGGCCGCTGAAATGCCGGTGCACGCCAAAAAGTCTTTCTTCCTCCGGGACCGGGACGGTGGCGGCGGTCCCATCCGACGCGGCGCGCATCGTTGGCACGCCGCCGGAGACGGACAGCCGCGACAGCTCCACAACCCGTCGGCTGCGCCGCCTTCAGCAATGCATTCCGCCGCCTTCTCCACCACCGCCGCCTTTGCCGCCGCCGCCGTCTCTAGGCTCCTGTCGCGCTGCCGCTCCCTCGCCGCCGTCAAGCAGCTCCATGCCCACTTCCTCGCACGTTCAAACCGCCCATTTCCCTACAACCATTTCCTCTCCAAGCTCCTCTCCCTCTCCTCCTCCGCCGCCGCCGCCGACTATGTCCTCCTCCTCCTCTCCTCCCACCCGGCCCCCACCGCCTTCTCCTACAATGTCGCGCTCCGCTTCTTCGCCTCGTCGCGCCCGGACACCTCCCTTCGCCTCTTCCTCAGCATGCTCCGCACCGAACTCCGACCCGACGCCTACACCCTCCCTTTCCTCCTCCTCGCCGCAGCTCGCTGCCCGGCCCCAGCCCTCGCCCGCTCCGCCCACGCTTTCCTCGAGAAGCTCGGTCTCAGGGACCACGACCACACCGTCCACTCCCTCATCACTATGTACTCCTGCCTCGGTGACCACCTCACCGCTCGCAGGGTGTTCGACGGAATTCCCTACCGGGATGTCGTCTCTTGGAACTCTATAATGAAAGCGTACGAGCGGGCAGGGATGGTGGCCGAGGTTGAAGGGATGTTCCGGTCGATGGTCACTGAGGGCGCAGTGGCGCCAAATGGGGTGACTCTGGCAGTTGTGCTCACAGCTTGCAGGGATGCTGGCAATTTGGTGCTTGGGAAGTGGGTGGAGGAGTGGGTGAGGTCTGCCGGGATGGAGGTGGACTCGCTCATTGGGTCGGCGCTTGTGGGGATGTATGAGAAGTGTGGAGAGATAGAAGATGCACGGCGTGTGTTTGATGGCATCAGCAACAAGGATGTCGTGGCATGGAATGCCATGATCACCGGGCAAGTATATGAAGACACACTTCTGTTATTGTTGCAAACAAATGCTGATTAAGGATTCATTGTTTCGCCTGATAATTTACAAATGACATATCAGCTGATGCAGGTATGCGCAAAATGGCATGTCAAATGAAGCAATAGCCTTGTTTCACAGCATGAGGGAAGCTGGGCTGCGTCCAGACAAGATAACCTTGGTCGGTGTCCTCTCATCCTGCGCTGCAGTTGGTGCACTGGAGCTTGGAGTTGAATTGGATAGGTATGCCTTACACAGAGGCCTCTACAGCAATGTCTATGTGGGAACAGCCTTAGTGGACATGTATGCTAAGTGTGGAGATCTTGAGAAAGCTACACATGTTTTTGGGAAGATGCCATTAAAAAATGAAGCCTCATGGAATGCATTAATCTGTGGGCTTGCCTTCAACGGTCGAGGCTATGATGCCATTCAGCAGTTTGAACTAATGAGAAATGAGAAAGGACTCCAGCCAGATGATATCACATTCATAGGAGTGCTTTCTGCTTGTGTACATGCTGGGCTACTTGAGTATGGCCGCCGGTTGTTCAATTCCCTAACACCTGTGTTTAACGTCATTCCTAAAATTGAGCACTACTCCTGCATTGTTGATTTGTTGGCACGTGCTGGTCATTTAGAAGAAGCATGGGATTTTATTGAGAAAATGCATGGCAAGGTAGATGCTGTCATGTTAGGCGCTTTGCTTGCTGCTTGTTGGAAATGCAAGAATGCTGAGGTTGGTGAGAAGGTCATCAACAGGATTATGAAGTTGGAGCCAACAAACTCATGGAACTATGTGGTATCATCCAAGATTTATGCAACCTCAGATAAAATGGATGAATCTGCAAGAATGATAGGGCTAATGAGGGAGAGGGGTGTTAGCAAGACTCCAGGGTGCAGCTGGGTTGAGGTTCATGGTAAAGTCCTTGAATTCTATGCAAGCACTGAACCACAGCATGGTGCAGAAGATATGTATCAACTCATGGGCATACTGGTAAATGAGATGAAACTAGAGGGATATGTTCCGAACCTCGATCTCGTGTAGCACACAATAAAGCATATTTCCTCTTCTTGAAACGAAAGGAAGGACCTCTGCTAATTTACAGGAGGAGAAAATCACGAAATGAAATAAACAGAGGAACAAAACAGCAGCAGCCAACAGTATGATGGGATACCATGCTAAAGCTCAATAGTTGCAGCATACTAAGCAAATCATTATTGAGAGTTATGTACCTTCTCACTTATTCAATGAAGTGTCGCATGGAATCTCTCATTTAGCTCTTGGGACCTTTTTATGGTCTACTTCCCACCACCAAGTCAGATTTTTCCTCAGCTGCGAAGGTAATAGAGTCCAGTTACACCATGGAGCTCCTTAAATCTGCCCATGATTTTTAATACAGGACAAGGTGAGATGAGCAGCTATTGATGGATCCTTTCTTCTGCAGTTGCACTGAAATTTTCTTTTCTCCGCCTGTTCTGTTCTTATAATACTTTGCTTTGTGTTATTTTGCTTTTCTCCTCTTTTCTGCGCTTGTATTGCATATCAGATTCGTTGAGTAGGTTTCAGTCAATGTTGAGAGTTCACACTAATGTCAAATTAGTGTATGAGGAGCATTTGGTTGATGTTAACTGAGCTCACAGCGAATGTAGAATTAGCGTATGAGGGGGAACCAAATACATATTCCACTCTGCATAGAATTAGTCCATGGATGTATACTAATAAATTATGTGCTGCCGGGGCTTCTTTGCTTGGATCAGGCCTTTGGTGCCAACATTGGTTGGAATACTTGTTGATCTGATAGCCCATTTTCTCCAGTCGTCCCTTTTTGACCTATAAGATGAATAATATCACTCTTTCGTGTAAAATAAATATTTCTTTCCCAAAAAGAAACTATGTATCTACAGTATATAAGGCTTTGTTGCTGTTATTATCTCTACCTTATATGTGTGCTCCCCAACATGCTAATTGTAACCTAAGAGATGTTTTCTTACCATTTCCGGTTGTAGGTATGTCCTTGTCTTGTATAGGTGTGAATATCCTACAATTTCTGAGTAATTTCCTTGAAAAACGTCTTAGAAAATTACAATGATAGGTATTTTTGTTTCATTCTGCAGATATTCTTGGGATACTTGATTATCTATTTATTTAGTTAGTTCTCAGGTACATTGTGTTAGATAATCTTGTGTGTTTGTCTTTAGTGTTGAGTCTTTTCTGTTTCAGACAGTCAGTAAGATGAGTCCTAGTTTCATTTGTTTTAGCTCATCTTGGAAATTTTGTGAAGTCTTTTGGGAGGGTATCAAATGGGTGATATATGTTTGGTAGGGGGGCAATTCCTGAAATTTCCCCTTCTTGCCTGCCCACATATGTACTAGAATAAACTATTGGGTTTGTTATGTTACTAATACATAGAGCTGTAAGCCTGGGAGCCTTGCCGCCCTCCAGACACACCATACTCCGGTTCCAAAATGCTGGCCATTCTAGTTTTATCTTAAGTCAAACTTCTGTAGCTTTGACTTAGGACAAAACTAGAACAACTTACAATTTTGAATGGAAGGAGTACGTGATATAAGTTGTTCAACTTTAAGTTATTCAGCCTCCTGAACTCATTTACATTCAAATCCCACCATGCTGCTTCATCTGCAATTGAAATTTCAATCCTAATGCATTTGAGTATCTCCAGGTATGTCAATGATGGAAGGCCCTTTTGGCAATACATAGCTGGTACCTCTACTGGCTACTCAGATCTGCAGTACTTGGAGGAACTATAAGTCTATAACAGTGATATACGACTGAAAAGGTGAGGTACAGAATGCAGTCAGAATGGTTTTGGACCTTCTTTTGCTATATGTTTACTACGAGTATAAGCTTACAAAAACGTGATATGTTTGCTAGGGTGTGTTTTCAAGGCATTGAGAATGTCCACTTTGACATTCGTCTTCAGCCACTTTTTACAAGCCCTGAAATGTGATGACTGGTTTGATGCAGTTCAGTAGTTCATTTATCTGCTGAAGGACAACTGAGGTTGGTTTCCATTTCAAAATATTCAATGGATGAGCTTGTGCATATTTCTAAGGGAACAACAGAGGCAGTTTCTCCTGTGCAGCTGTGCCAGGCCCCCAGGCGGTCTCTTCGTGCAAATATACTGATGTATATGTATGCATTTGAAGTTGACCAGCTGCTTATTTGCTTGTGGTGTGAATTCTGTAGTTCGAACCGATTGACCTAGTCGAGCAAGTGGTGTGCATCCTTCAGTTTTCCTTCACCAGACTATACGATGTGACATGTGAGCTACCAGGACTGCTCAATGCTTCTTGAAACAAGAACAGTTTCCTTCACCAGACTATACGACGTGAGCTACCAAGGCTGCTCAATGCTTCTTGAAATAGCAACAGGTGTATTTCCTTCAGGCTGTGGGGATAAAGGGTGACAAATGTGTTCAATGTTCATCTGTCGTACGAAGAAAACAATAATGTATCACAGGATTAGCATTATTATTATGTATATAGTTGGCAGATGCACTTAACATTAGCAAACTACACGAGAAAGGACTGACAACATTAACAAATCTGGTAATATATAAGCAAAAAAAAAAGGACCTGCATAGCTGTACCTCCTTGTCCTCTAGTCTATACACTCCGTATATATATGACTGAGTTTGGATAGCATCCCCTACATACATGCGCAAGTGCATCAATTCTAAATAGAAAAAAAAATCATGCCCATGTGATTGCCAAGCGTCTGCGCTTCTGAATTCTGATTAAGCTACCATGAGGCAACAACACCGGGCCTGTTCACCTCAGATTGCAGCTGCAGCTGCAGCTCCTGAACTGTGCCGTGTTATCAGCTCGCATAGCTCCTTACGAGAAATCTCAATCAAAATACAAAACTTGCACATTCTGATTGATAGAGGCATAGTCGCATAGAGCACTTCAAAATTTCACTCACTTGCCAGGAAGGGAAGATGTACTTCTAAGTCTCTCAATAGCACATAAGCTGAACCTCTGGTGACAAAACCAAAGGCACCTTTCAAACACAAGAATTTTATAGGAATCAATTTATTTTCACACGAAAAACGAAGAAAACATGCAAAATTCCTGCTTTCCACAGGTGCAGTCAGCAGAGGCAAACCAACGGTCTCAATTCAACAGGGAGATGGCAGTAACAATGGGAAAGCAATTTGAAAGAACTAAAAATGTCTACCTAGAGTTTTGGATGTGTGGTTGTGTTTTGTAAGGCTGATGTCCTTTTCTTCTTAGTATACAGCCTGTTCGGGAGGCCGTATCGTATCGTGGATTATTTACCGCTGGCTGGTTTGGTGTGAGAGAAAAACACTGTTCCCGGCTGGAAATTTACGATCGTTTACGAGCAAGCGAACAGGCTTACTTGTAAGTGATACACAATTCTCTGTGATTTTAAACCCTGTTCGCTTGAACTTATCAGTCTGGCTTCTCTCACAATAAATCAGCGAACAATACTTTTCAGGAAGCAATAAGTTTGGTCCTCAAGAGAGGATTTCTGGAAATTAAACCTGCTGGCAGGAAGCAAAAGATGGGCTGTCTTTGAAGCAAGTGCAGAGAATTGAAAAAACGACCTCTACAGCTACATACATAAATTGTTATGCTCAAAGCAACAGAAGGAATCGCCAGAAAACAAGGGTAGCATTATTCATTGGTTCCATAAAGTGATAAGGGTGATGAACCCTGCAGAAGCACAAATTCTCTCTAGAGTGCAACTGATCAGATGGTATTATCCTGGATGATCAGAAGAGATTGTCTAAATCAAACCATGACCGCAACAGATTCAGCCTACATTACTCTCATGTCAGTCTCAATCTGAAGCCCAAACAAAAACAACTGCCAGAATAATGTGGCAAGCAGATGTTGGACAGCTGAGAGATCAACATTCAGATAACAATAGCATTCCATTCAGTCAAAAGCCACCGCGGCACTTACACGACACCAAACAGCCAAGCCTCCGACCTACTAAAGCTACCAACATCTCACTCACACGAAGACAAGAAGCCTAGGACGAGGTGAACTTGGTGACGGCCTTGGTGCCCTCGGAAACGGCATGCTTGGCGAGCTCCCCGGGAAGGACGAGGCGGACGGAGGTCTGGATCTCCCGGGAGGTGATGGTGGGCTTCTTGTTGTAGCGGGCGAGCTTGGCGGCCTCGCCGGCGAGCTTCTCGAAGATGTCGTTGATGAACGAGTTCATGATGGACATGGCCTTGGAGGAGATGCCGATGTCCGGGTGCACTTGCTTCAGCACCTTGAAGATGTAGATCTTGTACGTCTCCACGCTCTTCTTGCCCTTCTTCCGCCCCTTCTTCTCGCCGCCCTCCTTGCCGGCGGACTTGCCCGACGGGAGCCGCTTCTCCGCCTTGGGCTTCTTCCCCGCGGGGGCCTTCTCCGCCGGGGCCGCGGCCTCCTCCTCCGCGGGCTTCTTTGCCGCCGGCTTCTTCTCCGCCTTGGGCGCCATCGGGTCCTCTCGGTGAGTGGAAAAGGGCGGTAGGGTTGGCTCGGTTGCGAATCGGAATTCGAGGATGGGATGGGAGGTTGAGGATTTTCGTGGGGATGAAGGCGGGGAGGGAACGGCTGCTTTATAGAACGGATGCCCGGCGCGCTGATTGGTGGAGAGGCGGATGCCGCGGATCGCTGGCGTGGACGAGCGCCAGGCGTTGGTGCGGTCAGGGGTTGGACGGCTGAGATGCGTTTCGGAGCGGATCGCTGACGTGGCAAAAGGATGTCTGACAGGGGAACGCTGTACGTTTCTCGGATACATGCATGCTCAGTTATCTTCGTCAGTGTTTTTTAAAAACACACACACAAAGATCGTCAATTCGAGCTTCATTTTTTCTAGGTTCACATGGCGTGTTTTACAGGATTCCAATTTTTTTTTGTTAGATATTTGGAGTGCAGTAATGGTGGATAGTGGCTATACGAAAGCAAGGTCGTAGCTTCTCCTAATCCTCCAATGAATTCATTAGGATTATGGTCTGCTTCGTTTCAATTTAATTTTTGGCAAATCAAAATATGGGCAACTTCAAAAGAATTGGCATGTAATTTTTTTTTACAACAATTGGCATGTAAGTAACTTGGTGCCAAAAAAATTGGTAATACCTCCCAAATTTTTTGGCAAGAAAATTCTTGTTGCTAGGCCTGTTCGCTTGGAGGAATTCTGGAGAAATTTAGAAGGTTTGGAGGAATGCTGGAGGAATTTGTGAGAGAAAAACACTGTTCTGAATGAAAAAAAAAACGGATCAAACCGGATTTAAGGGCACACGAACGGGGCCTAACAAACTAAGTACCAACCTTAGTTGTATTATGAAGATATTGACTTTCCTTCGTATTATTACCCAAATTTTAGTTTTCTCTAAATTTGCATCGCAAAAACTAGTCTTCAACTAAGCAGGCTCTATACCCAAAGAAGCAGACCGTGAACTTTTTCTCAAGAAAAAAACAACTTTAAACGTATTTTAAGTCAAACTGTCTAAGGATTGAACAGATTTGTAAAAAAAACACTCATGACACTAAAATAGTTACATTATAAAAATATATTATGTAACTACATTATAGTAGAATTTATGCGGCACCATAAATATTGTAATTTTAGTTGTTACGCATAATTCTAGTTAGACTTTTATTTTATTTTTTTTATTCTTTTTGGCATAACTCTCGGAGTAGCTTCTTTTTTAAAAAAAATAACTCTCAGAGTAGCTTCTAGGGAATTCACGAGTAGCTTTGTCAATCAATATCTCTATAACTAAAACATACGGATTGTCAACTTCTACCTAGCAGAACCAAAATCTTCTTGCGATCCGTGACTACCCGACGCAGAAAAGAAAATTCTCCCAACCCCTGCATGGCTGCTCTGCTCGGCTCTATCCCGCGCTCCTCCCTCACAGGTTCCTTCGGGTCTTTCCATGCATGGATGCATGCACGTGCACCCCGCTCCAACATGCAGTCGCGGTATTCTTATCTTTTCAGCAAATCCAGAAAGCACAGATCATGGAAAAATCAACAATAAGGGAAATATTAACGTCCACCGGTAGGACGTTGTTGTGCCCGATTGCGTGCACCCTAGCGCTCCAAGATCTACAGTATTTTTCCCTTTTCAAGGAAAATCGGACAAATCATAGGAAAAAAACAACAATCAAATCCGGATGCCATCTATGTGCCATCTATATCCTGTTGACCAAATAAGTTTAATTGAACCAGAGCTGCTAATCTACACTTGCTGTATGGCTGCATCAGTAGGAGTGAGTGTAACTGTATAACTGGTAGCGCTAGAGCCAATATTTGAATATAGAAGGGTTGTTCAAGTCAACAACAATCATACGTGATAAACATTCATGGTGAGACAATCTGAATATAACTGTGTTTAGTTACACTGAGATGTGGCTGTACAAACCCTTGTCGAGAGAACCCGCGTGTATCGAAAAAAAAATCAGGTGCAATAATCCAACTCCAAAATTTGCCAATCAACTTGTCCAACGACCAATAAAGAAGGAGCAGCGGCATGGAGCTGAGGCTATGAATGAAGGCCAGTGATGAAGATCGCCTGAGATGGTCCTTGCCGCTGGCTTCTTGATTGATTGATCCCGCTGTACCTGCTAGGTGCTAGCTGATGCTGAAACTAAGCCCCTTGTCCTTGTCCATCCCCAGCAGCCGTACCGGCGACAGCCTGCCGGGGCTGACGACGTCCGCAAGCCTCCGCCCTTTGCGCTCCTTGATGGTGTCCAGCCGCGGCGACCACGGCCGGCCCCTCGTGGCGCCCACCAGCTGCTCGTAGTGCTTCCTCAGCTCCGGCGTGCTGCAAAGCGCGGCCGACCCGCAGCCGTCGCCGCCGCCCCCACCGCCGTCACCCGCGATGGCCCTGACGATGAACTCCTCGGCGACCCTGATCACGGTGCGCCCGTCGCCGTCTTTGGCGTACTCGAACGGGCTCTTCCGTCCTGCGGCCACCAGCGCCAGCGACGGCGCCGCCGCATTGCCGCCGCCGCTCGAGTGCGACGACGACGAGAGCGCCGCGAGCGACGCCGCGGTGACGACCCCGTCGCCGCCGCAGGGGAGGCGGTCGACGGGGACGACGAGGTACGTGCGCCCGGCCTCGAGGCGGTCCCCAACGCCCAGCACCGGCGCGGGGCGGCCGACGCGGAACCCGTCGGCGCGGCACACCACGTGGCCCGCGTGCTCCGCCATCACCTCCCCCGCCGCCCGCCCCGGTTCCGCGCCCCAAGTGCCCCCGCCCCACAGCACCAGCCGTGCCTCACGCCGCGCCGGGCGCATGCAGACAAACCACCGCCGCAGCAGGCCGTCGCCCGGCATGCCGCGCGCCAGCAGCTAGCAGCACGTACGCTAGGTCTCCGTTTCCTCTGTGACGACTTGGTATAGGCAGGTGCAACTGTGCGAGCAGGGCCGGCAGGCGGTAGTAGGTTCCGTTTTATACATATCGCAGGGACCAAGGACCAGGGAGGTTTGGGCGTTTGGCGTGTCTGCATGGGCGTGTGGTGGCAGCTGTGCTGGGGGGCGGGCGCGCGGTTGACAAGGACGGGACGGGACATGGCGTCGGTGGCGAGCCGCGGCGCGGCGCGGGGTGTTTTTCGTGGCCGGGGCACGGGGCCGCGGGCGTCAAACCGCGGTCGATTCGCGGCAGGCGCAAGGGCAAGTGGATCGGGGGTTTTGGTGGTGGGAGACGCCGAGACGGCGCGGGCGGCAGTGTGCATCCGTGGCGGCGGTTTGGCCGCGCCTGCCTGCAGCTGCAGTTGCCGTGCGTGCGAGGGTGCAGTGCAGGTGGTGTTCGCGTGCGTTCCGGTTCCGTTCAGTGGTGGTCTGTGGATGGGGTGCCGTCGGCGTGCTAGGCTGCGGCTCCAGTGCTTACCATTTACCAAGTCGTCCCTGCCCCTGCACGGCACCGGCTGCCCGACACGTGCTGTGGCCAGGCTATAGCTGACGCGGAATGGCGCGCAAAAAGTCAACCGCGAGGGATGGTGTCCGATGGGCCGGCCTGCGTCACCGGTGACGGGGAGAGCGTTCTACTTGTATGTAGTGTACTAGCTTATTACAGACGGCAGACCAAGTCGTCGATCTTTTACTTTTCATTTTATTTCATCACAGCCACAGGAGAGGAGAGCTATCATCGGGATGCACAGACTGTTCGTTTGGGAGCTTGTCGTAAACGATCGTAAATTTTCAGTTAGAACAGTATTTTTCTCTCACACAAACCAGCCAGCAGTACTTCTTCACGAACCAGCAACGAAACGAACCAGCCAACCGAACAGGCTGGCAATCCGCGCCAACCCCGATCTGCATTGGCATGGCGGATACGGAGTACGGTACGGTGAACGCTTTGCTTGTGTTCTGGACTGGTCTGTGAACCAGACACTTTAGATCCATCGTTTTCGCATGTTCGTTCGTTCTCTGGGTGTTGCAATTTTAGTTTCAGCGAGGAAAGTGCAGCACGGTCGATTCACTTCACTTCATGCGAGTACTACTTCGACGGTGATCCCCTTCAATTCGTCCCACGCCACGAATGATGACCAGATCCGATCCAGAACGCCGGAATATAACGGAGACACGACGACTTGCCTCGCTAGTCGCTAGTCGCTAGTCGCAAGGCCTGACGTAGTTGGATGCTGCAGCACAGTTAATGCTCAAACTCTCACGAGCTTCTATGAAAGAAGACCAAGAAGAGGTCGCCGGCCAGCCAGCGATGCATGGCATGCGGCGTGAAGCAGGTACGGCGGCGCTGGACGAAGAACGACGCCGCGCCGCGGATTACAGTACAGATGCAAGATTATTGACTTCTCCAGGATCCTGATTGGGTTGAGCAGCAGATGAGTGCAAGAGAAAACCAACCATCGTAATAAGTTGACTGGTGATCTTCTGCAATCATCATGCAATGCAAAGTGCCCATCGTCTTCTCGTGCAACCATCTTTGGGTCAAAAACGAAGACCATGCACGTTCTAAGAATCTTGCATGCTTGCACCATGGTCATTAATTTTGGTTACTCGTCAACCCAGGAAACCATGGATTCACCGTGGCCCGGCCACTTTACGTATACCAAGATTTACATTATATAATCTTTGAACTATAATTTGATCAGTAATTTTTAGCTACTGCAATACAAATCACACATTTAGATTTGTAATTAAAGCTACTGTTCAATAATCACAACTTTATGATCGTAAACAATATAATGAAAAATGAATGAATTCTGTTGTAACTTAGAAGATCATGTCATGGTAAACTGCATCTTATAAACTGGACCGAAGGATTGCGTTTAATTTCTTTTCGAGCTACGCATTTGGCAGTTGCTTGGGTCATGTGTAAGTGTAACTCGCAGCTGCATGCAAGCCTGCGTTTAACTCTCTGGAGTCTGGACTGTGGGCTCTGGTGATATATATACTTTTCGCAGCCACTTTGATTATAAGTGCAGCGAAAGTCCTGCACCACGGAATAATTAATCGTAGGATCGATCAGGGATTTGACGATTGGGTTTGACTGATTCAGAAAGAGATTGAAAGAAGAAACCACACCACGGACTGTGCGACTTGCATGGTTTCTGAAATGGCGGTGCTACCAAGAATTATTGCATTCGGTTAGCAGGTCACCGTTGTATAGGACGTTGAAAAGTGTGACAAGGTAGCAAAAGGTATAGAACAGGTGTAAATATAAATTCCAATATATGGGAGCTTCCATGCACTCCATGGGAGGATCCACCTATGTGGATAAAAATAGATGGGACAAATCACATGTCCCGTCCCATTCAGTTTCGTACATTTTTTCTATTTTTGGAGGATATACACAGGACAAAATGGTAAACTGAATATAGAGACGAGACAATATTCTACTGTTTTCCCTATTGTTTTGGCATTTCCCTTTGTCCACTACCCTGCTAGCTTTCTTAATTCCTTTTTATAAGTTTGGGACGCTAAACTATATGTTTATGGGTTTATTTAGATCCAATAATAACACTAATAGTTATCTAACTAATAGTTACTACTCCCTCCGTTTTTATTTACATGCCGTATTCACTTTGTCCTAAGTTAAACATTTGTATCTTTAACCATCAATTTTTTAAAAAAATAGATGGGTTCAAGACATGCGATTTATTTTTAGATTCACCATGAAAAATACTTTCATAATGTGAAACTATAGGATTTTTTTGAAATGGATGGCCGAAGTTAACAGTGTTTGACTTAGGACAAAGCTAACGTGACATGTAAAAAAGAACGGAAAGAGTAATTATTAGCTAGCTAATTTTTAATAGAAGTTGTTTGGATCCATCTACTAATATGTTTGCTAATATGAGGTTAGCGCCTACTAGTAAATTTGTTTGCACCTACTAGTACTAATTTTAGTTGCTACTTATTACTGCCTCAGTCCTAGAAAGATTACAATTTTAGGTGCATTCTCGGTTAAAGTGACTAAAGTCTGACAAAATATATAGGTAAAAATATTAATGTTTATGATGTTAAATAAGCATATTATGAGTATGTTTCATGATGATTCCAATGGTACCTAAACTAGGATGATAGATATGAGTAATTTTTATATAGATTTGGTCAGACTTGATATATTTTAGGGAACTGTTGGCGTCCGGACATGATCCATCGGACGGTACCGTGGATTGGGATGATTCATTTCCCCGGCGCGCGCCTACACTCCGCACCCCCGCCCGTGCCTACTTTTCACGCACCCACCTAGGGGCCTGCGCTCGTGGGGACCTTTGGCGACCTACACCCACCACTCCTCACGTCCGGATGGATGGCCGCGTAGCCCGCCCCTATCCGCCTCGCAGGCGCACCTTGCCCTCGTTGTTGCGCCCGCTCCTTCCTTGGCCCCCCTCCTATCTCTCCACGTGGGTGGGACTCGGGAGCCCGCCCCCAGCTCATTGCGCCCCCGTCCGCCGGTCCCTAGCTCTGCCATGCCCCATCCCCCAACGTTTGGGCCATGCGCCCATCACTCACCGTGTCCCGTGAAACACTTGCAACATGAAACATTTGGATGCAACATACGTTGGACATAGATGAAACATTTGAGACATACTGTTGCAACATATGTGTGAAAACATATGCAACATTCAGATAAAGCACTTATAACATGTGTGTCAAACATATGCAACATCCAGATAAAACACTTGCAACATTTGTCTGAACATATGAAACATCCAGATAAAAACACTTGTTGTAACATACGTCTAAAAACATTTTTTCAAAACACTTGCAATAACACTGAAAACACTTGAAAAATATATGCAACATGTGCAACATCTCATTCTACTTATGCAACATCCATATGTAACAATTGCAACATACCTCTGAAACATGTAAAAGACTTGAAACATATATTTGCAACATAGGGGAGAGGAAGGCTCAGGCTGGTCGATTCCGGTCATCGAGGTGGGATCCGACGGCGAGTGAGCACCACTAGCACTAGCACCAGCGGGCGGCGCCTAAGCACCACCACCATCTAGCACCAAAGACACCACCATGACTCACCTTAGCGGGTTCTTGCGTGCTACGGGGGAGCGGGCGGCGCCTGCACTGCCCAAGCGAGGTATGTGTGGGGGCGTAGTATGTGGGAGAGCGGGGAGAGGCGAGCGCGGCGGCAGGGTCGGGCGCGAGTTGAAGAATGCCACAACAACGAGCGGAGTGAGGCGCGACGTCCGGACAAGAATAAGAGACATGGAAATGAGCCGGAAATAAAAAAAAAGCAAATGTGTGGTGCACGTCACGCACGCGTCCGTCCGGAGGGAGTCGCTGGCGTTAGACGTTCTGTTTGTACCATTATCGTATATTTTAAAATAACACTGTTCTAGAATTACATTCTTTTTGAAGGAGGGAGCAGAGGATCCAAACAGGCTCTATGGATGACTGTACTTGTACTTTTGTTTGTTTTTTTTTTTTTCTGAAAACCATCCTTGAACGAATGAAAGCCCGCCCAGGATCCAGTCCTCCATCCGAATGAAAGGCCGAGAACGTTGAGCTTGTGTCGAGCCCAGTCCATCCGAATGAAAGGCCCAGAATGTTGAGCTTGGGTCGAGCCGTCTGACCTGAAAAGTCCCGCAGTCTCGAACTATCTTGGGCTGGGCCGCGATAATGCCTGGTGTCGACAGTCGACGCGTCCAGGTAGCGCTAGAACAACGCTACCACCTCCACCGCAATTCCCCGCAGCATCAGGCGCAGCCGGCGGCCGTGCGGCATCGCAGCATCGTCTCCTCCTCCTCCTCCTCCTCAGCTACTCGCGTGGTCTGCAGATGGGCGTCGAACCGGCACAACCGAACCCCGCCGCGGCCGCGGCCACCACCGCTGAGCAGGCTCAG